CCCCAAAACCCCAAAACCCCAAAACCCCAAAACCCCTTTTTTAATAATTGAGATTGAGACTATTGTTGCTAGTTACTTGTTGTCAAAGATGCTTTCGCTTTTCTTCTTCATTACTCTCTTCCTTTTGTTTTGAACCTGGCTGGTTCCTTCTTCAGCTCTTTGCATCCTGTAGATTGTCATGAATTTGAACCTAAACTATTAGAGTCAAAATACTTGTCAGGGCTTTTATTCTTATCAAGAAATGCTTTCAGGCCTATATCTTCTGGGTTAATAGTGGAAGATTCCTTGGACTGCTGCATCATTCATGAATCTTCTTGTAATTCGTTCTTAGAATTATGCTTCCTCAGCCACTTGTTTGCTAAGATTTAGGAGGCTAATCATACCAGGATAATTTGTCATATTTCTTTGTAATGCAGTCTTTGGAGCATCCAGTATCCCATCTGTCTTCTTAGTAGATATGCTTGCATTGGAAATCCCAACGGTGAACTTCGAATCATCTAATATTTTGGTCAAATCACTCCTTCTGTTACGATTGGTTTTTCAAAGTCTGATATTGTTGAAATATTTATCATCGAATTGACTTCGCATTTGCTTCACAGCAATTTTCTGCCTCTGTAGCCCTAATAAAGTTTTGGTAATATTATTTTGAAGTAGTCTTCGAACATATTTTGTTATAGTTCCTGAGAATAGAAGTACTTCTAAACCTTTTAGCCATCAGTTGAGAATCATTATTTCGTATCCTGCTCATCGTAATACCTAATAGTTGAGTGCGAGGACACAGGTTTGGAACTTTCGGGAGGAAGTGTTACAGGTTGTCTCTTCTCTTCAACTTTTTTCTTCTTTTTAGCCATTCTTGCTGTGTCTCTGAACTGGTCTGACTATGCCTCAAAGTTTTATCTTACCTGTAAGACCTTGGGTACATCATATAGCATTTCGTTGACTTTTAGCTTTTTATATTGCATCATTTCAAAAATATCAGGTTGCTAGAATTCAGATGCGGATGCTTACATTTTGTTCACTCTTAACTTTGGTTCCTTTGGTGCCGCTCAAGATCTTCTTCCTTCTGATCTCCCTGGAGAGGGATCTGTATATTAGTTTTATGCTTACTTCTTCCTCCTCTGAACATATTCGTTGATTTCAACTGAAGGTCTCTTTCTATGGGGTTTATAATGACATTTACTTGATCCTAAAGAATCCTTTTCTATTTGTTCTATAGATAAGTATGAAACGAAAGTATTATAGCCAAATTTTGATTAGTTTAGAAAGATTTTCAGCTTAATCTGTATTCATGATAAGCCGATTATGTTTTCTTAAAGATTACACTGACTTTAACCGGTTTATATGAAGTCATATCGAGAGAAATTTTCAGTCCTTAAAACTGTGAGTATCTGTAATAATAACAATACTTCAAAAATATCGATGGTTTGCTAGTATCCCTCCTCATAGCTCTCATTTACCAATGTGTGTATAATTTAGCTAGGGATTGTGTCGCCCGAAAGATATTCAAGACTTGATAATACAATTTAATCTGCTATCATAAAATCTCTCTCAAATTTACTTGAAGAGGGGGAAAATTTTATTTCAGGTTGATTTAGATTTCAAAACTTTGGATGGACTGACTGTGTTCAAGAACTCCAGGTTTATTATCTTTGCAAAAAGAAAGATATAACCCGAGTTGTTTAAAGCATAGAGAATTGTTATCCAATTGTGATCATAAATCTTGCAAAGTGATGTAGAATAAATCTTTTAGATTCATAATTGTATCTTTTAGGCTTAGATAAGCTAGCAGACTCCAACCTTTAATGCTATCAAGGTTGCTGGTCGTATAGATTTATAAGCATTTAACGCTAATTCTTTTAACTCTAATTTCTCTGAAACAGAGTAGTGGCTGCTCCAAGATGTTCATATCAGCTATGAAACTTGTTACTGAGGAAATTTGGTAACTTTTCATCTTAGGGTCTCTAAATTTTACAGAATGTGTAGGTTCCTTTTCAGAATATTAAATTCTGGTAGGCTAGTATATTTCTAATGCAGTTATTTTCAGAGCTCATATGTCATTATAGCTTACCTCAGTAGTTTGGATCTGGCGGACCTGGAAATTCGTAGTGTATTTCTCTTGGAAATTAGGTGGCAAATCAGAACATAAGCTATAAGATTTACTACTTAAAACCTTACTTTTGAGGTGACAGCACTGAAGGATTCAACTGACGTGTGGTAGATCTGGTTTTAGCCTTTTTATTTAGAAGTTTTGTTGAAAACAGTGTTGTATTGTTTCATAAACTCAACCAAACCCTTCCTGGTCATGTTCATGACTAAATTCTGTCGATTGGTGGAGGTAGTGTTGCGAAATTCAAACATTGAGGGTTGACAGTCTTCTCTTGGCCTATGAGTTCTTTTAGAGCTGGTTGTTTTGAACATTGGTTTTTCAAAAGTCTTCCTGTAAGAGCTTATTGTCATTGGTTGACCTGAATTCTCACTATCTATATCTCTTTGCTAAAATATTATATGATTAGGTGTTCTTTCTTTCAACTTACCTGATCAAGATTAGTCGAAATTGCTTGGTCAATTTGGAGAATATCCATCCTAGTTTTTGCAGGATCTTTAACTTTCGGTTTGACTTCTATCTTCGGAGCTTGGATCCCAACTACAAAGTCAAGAGAGTCTGTGCAAATTTCTTCTTCAGCATTGCTTGATAGTTCGCCTAATTGTTGAAAATCGGGTTAGAGCTTTAATAATCCCCTTGGCATTAAAAATGCTCTAAAAATTCTAAAACCTTCCTAAAAGCACACAATCCTTACTGAAGTCCTCTTTCTTAATATTAACAGTTGATGATTTATTGCTTTGATTCCAGAGAAAGTTTGATTTCATTTTTAGATAATTTTATATTTTCATTATATTTAAAAATTATAGGGGTTTTGGGGTTTTGGGGTTTTGGGGTTTTGGGGTTTTGGGG